AACCTGGGTTTAGGGTTTAGGGTGCAGTTCAACCTCAGAATTCTGAACTGAAAGCTGGATTGCCGTCCAAATAGCACGAACTTCAAACATTTGGGGTGTGCAATGACTTGAACTCCCATCCACAGAACTACGGAGCAAGGATTGAGGTCTAGAAGCTAGCACGAAGCCTTCTTGAATGTAATGTTTCAAATATAGGGTTCAGGTGATCATCGCTAGCAAGATAATCCTTGCCATGCTGACGGATATTGGTTTAGGGTTTAGGGTTTAGGGTTTAGGGTTTAGGCATAATTATAGTAAGTGTGTCCCTCTATCGTAGGAGTGACTCTGAAATTGGGGTCACATGTGTATTCCAAGGTACTTGAACAAGGGTAGTAGATGATGTAAAGGGATCCCAAAACAGACCATTTCGAGAAAAACCCATATGGGAGTTTCTCGTAATCCACTGGTATCCTTCATGATGCAACTCGATTGAATTTCTAAGAAAGACCCACCCTAAACCCTCTCACCCTAATTAGCCTGCACCCCAAACCCCAAACCCTAGCACCCTAACTCCCTTAACCCCAAACCCGACCCTAATATCCTAAACCCCAAACCGTAACACCCTAACTCCCTAAACCCCAAACCCGACCCTATAACATCCTAAACCCCAAACCCTAACAACCTACGGTGGATACTAAAAATCCTGCATGGCCCTTAGTACCTTAAACCTTGGGAATAATGGTACTATAGTATACCAAGAGCATGCAGGATTTTTAGTAGCAACAGTACCACCCTAAACCCTGTCCCAAGCCTCCCTCCAGGGCATCACCAGCGCCCTCAAAAGGAGCTCTAACTCCGAAGCCTCTGCAAGTTCGAAGCACGGAGCCACGCGGTTTAGGGTTTAGCGTTTAGGGGTTTAGGGTTTAGGGGTTTAGGGTTCAAAAAAGAGGAGCCTTGAGAAGCCCCTCGGGGTACATGAAGATTCTACACAGGGATTATAAAGGCATTCTTCGGAGATTCTACAAGCATTTGGTGGGAGTCCCTACGTATGATCAGGGTCCATGTTTAACAAACTCTTTGTGTTGGGAGTTTCCAGAACTGTTGGAATCCTGTTTGGGCGCCATGTAAGCATAGCGTGTTCTGTTATAGTACATCTTGTACCACAGCTTGGTGATTAGAATACGCTCTGCCAGTTGATCGGATGGTGAATGGAGTAAGGGCTTCTTCTTGCGTGCTGCTCACATTTGAGCATTTGCCGAGATTGAATCCTTGGCGGAGGGCCCCTCGGAATTCAGAGCACAATTCTGCGACGCACTGTGCGCCTGGCAACCCTTAATTCGAGATCCAATTGTTGCCCACCAGCCTTCCTATCACTGATTGTAACTGGGAAATGCTAAGCAGATAAGGTGGCTGTGCACCCAGCATCGCTCCTACATGGTCTCAAAAAACTCCAAATGACGCAGCGCCAGTACTCCTCCTTGTCTTCTCCGTATCCTCCTGCTCGTCTTTCTGCTGCTAGTACTGCTGCCACCACTGGCACGCACCACAACTACCCGCGCCATTGCTAATTGAAACGCTGCCGCTCTTCCTATCCATACGGCTGCTACCACTACTCTTTGTTGCGTCTTCCACCACCAGCGCCGCCGCCGCCCCACCCACCCACCCACGCACCCACCACCACCACCACCACCACCACCACCACCACCACCACCACCACCACCACCACCACGACAAACAAGGACGACCACCACCACTACACCACCGACTACTACGTCGATCACTCCTACTTCCACCATGAGTACTACGGCGACGATGGTGGCAAACAACTGTTCTCTGTGGCCTGGAAAGCCTGCTGAATCTGCGGCTGAAGGGGGTCCCCGTGTAGGGAGCCCTCAGACACGTCCTGGCAGAAAATTTGAGCATAATTGAGCAGTCACCAACACCTAGGGACAAGGCGCCTCAACCTGAGTACCCCTCCTCTCAAAACATGCACCGCTGCTGACACTGTTGGGACATGAGTTTTGTTGAGCATAACTTGGGGTGGATGATTTGCAGCTCTGGGATGAGATGGTTTGCGGGCTCAGAGATGGGGATGATGGATGGGTTTCGTTTCGACAGCTCGGAATGAAAGAATGAAATCGTTCTAACTCTTCAAAGCTGCGCTAGGCAGGGAGACGCAGGAAGGTGGCATGCAATCTACTGACGAAACTAGTGTCCACGAAGCCGCGCCGTTTGCTCTTGCGGTAGAATAGCTAAGGAATCTATTAGGAATGTTGAGCTCATTTCAGTATGTCGAACGTATGTCCTGTTGAGAGCCTGGCAGTTGGGATGTGCCCAGCGACATTGCTTTTCTGCAGTTTGGCATACAGCTTGCATGATTCCCACGAGCAGCGCTGAACCAGCTGATCCTTTTAGGGAAGAACTCCATGAGCTGTGGAAGCTTCTTGGCCCGGACAATTGCCCAAACCCTGTAACAGTTGCTTGATACATAAATCGCAACAGTAGTCCACACTTGCCGTAGGGCAACCAGCGTACAAGTAAATGAAGTGTTGCAAAAGGTGGAGGAGTCGACCAGCTGCCGAGCAGCAACCAAGGAACTTCTACACTACAAATACGGCTTCCAGAGATCCGCACCTATCTTTGTAAAATCCTCTTGCGACAGCGTAGGAAGGAAGCTCAAAAAATGGGAGGAGAGGACTCAAGATTGCAAAGCCTGCTACACCTTCGGTGGACCCCCGCTGCAATCCCGAAAGTAGTTTCCATTTTCTTTTCCAGTATCCCTATATAACCCTATATTACCCAATATTATCCCAATAGTAGTACTACTACCCCCTACGATTATCTCCCTTATAGTCACTATTACTGGGTGGGGACAGTCGCTCCTCCTCGAATTTCTCTGGCACGGCAGGCGAGGCGCTTCCTCCCTCGGAAAGCTTTTTAAAGATCCAGACCAGAGGTTTGAGCTTCGGAAGTGCGAATACCCGTGAGGGATTCTCAGAAATCTTGCTTTTTAAGGACGCCAATGATAGGTTTCTAGAATTATGTAGGGTAAATATCATGTTTTGATACTTGGGGCTTCAATTGGGAAATTCAGTGACCCAGTTGTAATCATGGTAATGCACAAATGAAGTCTTTGCCAGGTTCCTGGAACCGGCAAGGAGTATTGGAACAACAAAGACCCCACCAACCCTCTAACCATGTTACATATTTCCCTTCTAGACCATGGCAATATACTAGGGACATTAGAAAATTGGCTCGCTCGACTGTCCTGCTTGGGAGTATGCCCCTCAACACCCTACTTACTCGTCTTTCTGCACAAACAGCCCCTGCCCTGCCCCTTCAGAAAAAAAAGCCATTAGACGGGCCGGGGGATAGGGCATTTTAGGGAAAGGGTTGACAAGCCTTATAATAATATTAATAGTAGTCATGATAACAATAAGAATTGTAATAATGGTAATACTTTTAAGAAGAATATTACTAGAAATAACAGTACTATCAAGAATGCTTAATAATCTAATTTGCTTTGGATTCCCTTGTTATGGACTGCTGGCCTCGGACTGCGAGCCGTCCGATATCTGATCCTCGGCTACCGCAGCCTCCTGTGGAAAGCAACACTAGAACACGGGAGATTACCACTGCCATTGCTAGTACCATTACAATTACTATTACTGTACCATTACTATAACTATTACTCTGACTATTACTATTAGTGGGAGTGATGTGAAGGCAAGATCACTGGCCGTTCATGCTCATAGGGGTTTGGGGGGAGGGCATCTCTCGTTTGCATGGAGTCGCAAATCGCGGGCTTCCAGATGCTTGGTCGCTTGCGGTTGACGCCCGCACTTCGTCCAGCGCTTCTTGCAAAGGCTTCAGGCCCATGTCAGATCGCCGCCAACAAAGGTTACCCTTGCCAACAGAGCTATGTACCAGAATTGTCTGGTTACAGGGAACATGGCTCCATGTTGTTTGGCAAGTTTGTTGTTTACATGAAGGAGACAGGCAACCCATGTGCCTGACCTGGCCTTGTTAATAAAGTCTCCCTCGCTATCCTTCCAGCCCACCCAAGCGATCAAATAATGCAGCTTCTCCAATGCCACTTTTGCAGGATCTGTGACAACCTCATTCTGGACCTGGCCCGCCTGGCATATTTTCTCCGTTCCAACTTTTCAGGGGCATTCTGCAAACCCTCCCAGAGACCCACCCACTTCTGGTCTTTCATGGTGAAGCGTGTTCACCGCAGACCCTAATTGTCTCCAACTGGGAGGCCATGCCTTCGGCTCCTAGTAGAAAGCACGCTTCCCCATTTTAGCAACCCCATATTACAACATGACAGATGAGGCTATGAAGCAAGACAAGACATGCCACCTGAAAGAACCCCCGGGTAGGCTTTGGGATATCTGAACTAAGCCACAGTTCCTTACAACCACAAGTACGGACGGGCAATTTGTTGGGTTGCGGTTGAGGAATGCACACTCATAACAGGCTGCCAAGCTTCTGGCCTGGCATTGGAAGAAGGAGCAAGCAAAAGTCGAAGAGGACCACGAAGACCACGATGACACCAGGGCTTTTTGTCGGGGGGTCCAATTTCTAGTTGGTGTTTCTCTGTAATGGTTGCTGATCTTCTGTTTCTGTTGCCGCTATGGCTCACTCCATTGATTCTGAAGCTCAGATTTAGAGGTCGTGAGCAATAGTTTCGACCAAGTCCCATGCAGTGAAGCCTGAAAACCCCGAAGCTCGATCCTCGCTTCGCAGAGGCGCACTCTTCAGCCTCACTGGTGCTGGCGCTTCTGGAGATCCCTCCTCCAGCGCAGATGAGAAAGAGAAGTACGAGGTGGAGGTGGCGAATTGCAGAAAATGAGCCACCAGTAGTAGTAGTAGTAGTAG